CTACAAATTATACAGTTCTGTACAATGATTAAGGTTAATAAGTAACAATAAATAATAAATAATAATGAGTTTAAAGATTACCCAGTAATAACACACAACAAATTACATAATTTAAGTCTTATATTTTATAATAATAAAATTATTATTAAAACCATAATAATTGTATAAAATGCTTAAGATAAGTCACAATATTAGCATTATAATTGAATATAATTTAAATTAATCAACATACGAGTAAATATTTTTATGAAATAAAATTTATAAGTACAAAAATAGTTGAAAATTTAAGTAAATCTAGTGTTTATTATATACTCGTATATTATGTAAAAATATATCAAAGTATTTCCAAAGTTGTTATGATGTAGTCAATAGTTTCCTATTTTTTCTATTAGTATTATTTATCAAAATGATTTATTTTTATTTTGAAAAATTATCGCATAGAAATTAATACATATTACATACTAAATATTTTTAAAAACAAAATTGAGAAATTTTATTTGGGGCTTACTAGAGTAGATTTCACATTGTACACTGGATCCACATTCAATGCATTTTGTAATTTTTTGTTTAATATTATTTATTCGTCGTGCTTATGTTCATTGAAATCCATTATTTTATATTTTTAGTAATGATAATTTCAAATTGTTAAAAATTGTGTAATGATTAATACAATTATAGGTTTTTTAAATTTTTTTATTAATTATTTATGCGTAAAACTTCAAATTATAATTCTTAAAAATTACAAAGGCTACCTAAAAAAATGAAACTATTTTTTTTTTTTTAAACAATGACTTGTTGATTAATTATTATACTAGGTTTATTGTATGATAAAATAAACCAAACAAGTCCATATCATACCAGATAGTATAATTCATTATTTAATATACATAATTTATTTATTCACTCGTGATAGTCAATGTAATAAAACGTGATTTCACCTAGCCATATTCAAGATGAATATACTTAAGTCAATGAAGTCACAAATTGAAGTTATTTGCTGTTGTTTTTTGTGTGAATTTACGGCTACCTAGATTTATATGAGATATAGAAAAAATATAAAACAAAACTTGCTGCATTCGTGTGACTTATTTCAATGGCATAGACTATTTTTAAAAGAAAAAAAATGACAATAGAAGTGGTGGGGTTGGTGTATTTTACACGATCGGCATTATTTAAAGAAGGATTTATATTAATATTTTTCTAAAAAAAAATCTAATTTTAAATTATGTTTATAATAACAAATTATCTCCATTAGATTGTCTTCACTGTTTTATTTGCATGTAATTATTTTTATTGTTTTATCAATTAAACTTTTTTTCAGCTCTATAATACATGTTATAATATACAATTTTATTTAAAAAAATATTTATGTATATATAATTTAAGTTGTAAGCAAATATCAGAATCCACTTCGCTATGATAATACTTTTACTGGACCATATTCGGGCAGTATGTATTAATAGTTAATTAATATTCAAACACAATAACGTCATTCGTATTTATAATTTAATTTAACAATCTGATTTTGTTTTCAAACGTGTACGATTTTTTTATAATACAACATAAACCTATGATCGTTAAATTCCACTATTTCCTTTTTATACCTAAGCCGAGACATGTTCTGTACTGTACGTTTTTGTATACATTAATTTACATATGTATTAATTCAAGTAAAGAACAGAAAAAAAAATCATTAACAAATAACATTACGAACAAACAGAATTTATCAAATTTTTATTTCACTACGTAAAAACTATTACATACTCTTCACCCATTTTAATATACTAAAATGTATTAATAAATACAAAACTGATATATCACCATTTTAATTTATATCTATTTTGTTTTAAATTTCATTTAACTGTTATTATTTTAATAACAACATAAGTTTTTAATTTTATAAAACACTTTTATGAAAACCGATTAATAAGTATCAATATTGAATCAAATATTAAATTTATCAATCACAGCTTAGTATTTCGAGTTGAAGAACACAAAATAGCACAATAACTACCCTACTACTCGTACTTCTCACTTACAAATTTTGTATGGTTTTAAATAATGAACCATTAGTTCATGATTAAATAATTGCATACATAACATTTTCAATAATTTAAAAACTTTAATATATATATATATAAGTTTATTAAAATTAAAAACTATAACTAAAAAAAATACCATAAAATAAACAATTCATTTCTAAAATATCTCTGAATGTTGAAAAAAAATAAACTATAAAAATAATAGAACAAATTCATCTGGATTACTTTAATAGTAGGCAATAAGTTATTCTTCCTCAACATTTTATTATTAATTTATCAAGATAAAAATTGTCGTATTATGCTTAAAAATTATAAATAATTATACTTTTAAAATTAGTTTAATTTTTTCAACACATTTCTTAAAAATAATAAATTAGAATCTACCAAATCTCATCTCATTTTTCATAATTTTAAAAGATTAAAAATATTTTATAAGGACAGTTTATTCATTATCTCTATACATATAAATTCATAATAATTCATATAGATTATTGTATTATATCAAATTATGTTAAAAAATTATGAAAATATTATCATTTTTATAAATTTAGAGTTAGGTTATAATTATAAGTGCTTATAGCAATTGAAATATTTACAAAAAACAAAAAAACAGTCATGTGCAGCTTAATTCCTTCATAATTTAAAAACAATTATTTGAAAAAAAATTGATTTCAGTTATATATATAATATTTGAATGATTGTTTTAATTCTAATTATGGTTATTCACTTTGAACAGAAAACAATGTAGTGGTGTATTTTTATTTTAAATTCTAAAACGACACCTAATTATCGTATTTTAAAAACGAATGATAGTGGAACTTGACAGTTTATACACATCACAAACGAACAGATAAGTGGTCTGCTCAAAATATACAACGAAGTAATTCGTGATTTAGTTAGTCCGTCGTTGGTGACGCTATGAGTATTTTGCTCACATATTTAGTATTTTTAGAACCATTGGTTTATATTTCATTCGATTTTGACAACATTATATAAATGCTTCATTGAGTTATTCACGAAAAACATTAAACGTTATAAATAAACTAACAAAGTTATTGAAGTCCAATGTTGCCGTACATGTAATAATAACGTATAATATGTTAGCGTTGTCGTTGTGCTCACACGTCACTGATCGCATTACCATATTATCTAGTTATTTTATTATTATATTATTATATTATTTTATTTTATTATTATCTCATTATATTGTTTTATTATTATGCTTTAGCAGTTCAATATTGATATTTATCAATACCGCAATATATAAATTTGTAGGCTCATACTTGTATTTTAATAGGTGAACATTTCGCTAACACATCACTATCGGTGTTATAAAAATAACGTCATCAACGACGGGTAATGTTTTATAATTAATTAAGCAACTAAAATGATAAAAATAATAATGCATATCAAAGCTTTAACTTTAGAAAATTCTTTCATGTTCATATATTTTTTTAATGGCATATTGTTCATTAAGGTATTTAGGTATATGTATATATATATATATTTATTATTATTATTACTTATGTATAAGTTCATAATTAAGTACAATTTTATGATAAATTCAATAGATTATACAAATATTTTAAACAAAAGCGTGTTATAAATACATAATCACAATGGAGATATTATCATACTCAATAAGGTTTGTTAATAAGGTGCCTATCTAAAAAAAAAAAAAATTATTATTATTAAGTCATTTTATATTATATATAACTATCTAATTGTTAAGTTCTAGAAATAAGTTAATTTTTTTTTTCTAAAAACAAAAAAAAAAAATGGATGACAATAATTTAAAAATAATAGATAACTCTCATGATAATTATTAAGTTAATCGATTAATTTAAAGATACTTTTAATGTTTTGATATATTAGTATTATTTTTATAGCATTTATATTGAATGAATGATACAAAAAGGTCACACATTACATTTGTTCTTCAAAAAAAAATAAAATGAGAATATTTAATTTTTTTTCTTTTTACATTAGTTATTGCTGTAGTGAAGTAATTTGAAGAACCATAAATATTATAACGCATATAATCAGTGCACTCAATGTAAATATTAAGTAGAAAACAGTTATACTATATGTCTACTTTATAATAATATATAGAATTTATTTTTTTTAAGTTATGAACACAGGATATAAACTGCTCGTGTCGTAATTTAACTAAGAGTTTTTCAATCAAAGTCATTTTCTTGATTTAATTATACTTTTGATAATTTAATAAAACCATATAATGTATTTAAATTTATTATTTAGTATATAATGTATAAAATATATATAAAAAAATATGGTAATCGTCATGTAACTTCATTGATTTAGCTGGGAATTATCAATAGTGGGTATAGTGGCCTAGAGAACGGTTCGTAAAAATTCACTCACATCCAATGGCTACCAAAACTATTTTGAAAAAACAGATATTTAATATGTTTACTCTGTGAAAGAGTTACGGCGAACAGATAAAAATGTTGTCGTAAGAAATGAAGGTTTTAGAGAAAAACGGATAAAGCCACTAATGGAAATCTCTGAACAGTTTCAGTAAAACGCTTCTGATAAAGCTTATATATATATATATATATATAATATAGTAGACACAAACGTAAGCCTTTTTTTAGAACGAATTAAATAAACTACGTTGCAATACGCATCTCTGTGGTTCTTTTTTATCAGTAATTCAGACAAAAAGTGTCAACAACAATGCCATATACCTACAACCAAAAATACCTACCTTATGTTTACCTACAAAATCGTATCACAAATCTAATAACTTCTTTCAAATTTTCTTTTTTTCTTTTTATTTTTTGAAATATCTCCCTAATGTACTTTGTATACATTGCTAAATTGGATTTTAAAAAGCACTTAAATGTTAATGATTTTTACAGATCCATTCAATCTTATATAATATTAATAATATATCCCATATACTACTTGATATCGATGAGTAAATTTACTTACCAATTCAACAGAACCATAGTGACGCCTGCTGAACACACCACGTCGAGATATGAGATCATTAGACGACGATCTGAAAAAAAAAATTAAATTAATGTTAAAAAAATATAAACAAATATGTTTTAATTTTAATTTTATTTTTTAAGAGGTAGATTTAAAAATAAACTTTAATATTATTATATTTATTAAAAAACAAAAATGTATTTTTAAACATAGAGAAACAAGTGGTTACATGGTATTTACTATTAACAGTCTAAAAAAAAGTTGTTTTTATTTCGATTCCCATCCTTTGTGAATAGTATACTTTACTTACCTATTCTAGAATTTTATAGATTTTAAGCATGTAATTTAAACACATTCTATATATTTTTATTAATTATATTTATACATCACAATGTAAAATAAAATATAAAGTAATTGAGGTGTAACCCTTTCCGAATTTTCAATATATTTCTTTCTTTATATGACCTGAATAGAATTTATCTGTAAAGAACTGTTTACAAATTTTTTTCTATATATAACCGACACTTAATAATAAATTCAGTAACATTACAACGAGTAGTAAATGATGATCTTGATAATTACGTAACAAGTTAATTGTAAAATGTACAAATACCTATCTAATAAATCATATATGTGTATACACTATACATTAATTATAAATGAGTACAAAAATATAAAAAGGTACCTACTTAAATACTTTCGTTTGATGAATGTTTTTAGTAACTATTAATTATTAAAATAACTAACAACTTATACAAAATGTATGTTATCAGTCAAACCTAACAAAATGTTTTTCATATTATATTACAAGATAAATAAAATAATATGGTTTTTTTCAACGAAAATGTATGTATTTACCGGCTGCTATTTTAAATTAAATAATATATAATATAGTTAGGTATCGCTTATATAGTATTATAACTGGTATTTTGTTAAATACCTAACTAGTTATGATATTATATTTTAAATAGTAAAAATAATTAAAAATAAAATAAAAAATTTAATTATACAATAATAAAAGTTACTATTATATACTATAAGTTAGCAAAACAAAATGAAATAGTAGTAATCAAAGAGGGAAAATAATTAATTTCATGTGTTATGATTTTTATGACATTATATTTTGTAATTGAATAGTTATTTTTTGTAGATTTTATTAAGTTTTGTGGAAATTAAGATAATATGTGTAATCATAATTTAACGATATTTATTTACCCGTTAGAATATACATTATAATTATTTAAAAAAATGTAATTATTCCTTGATATTTAATACAAATTTAAAAAAAAAAAGATTTAAACATTTATAAATGGTAATTAATAATATCTGATAATAAATCTACTATTGGTATTATTTGAAATGCTAGTGCTCACTTAAATTCATAAAAAAGGTAAGAATATAAATATGATTTACTTTTCTTTAAATTAAAATATATACTGTACTTAAAACAAGTCTGCCGTTTTTCTCACTTTTTTACTTATTTGCATAATTTTCTTTTAAAAAAACAATAAAAATAAGAATTTGCAGGTAACAGTCGTAAAACAATTTATCGAAAAAGTTCCTGTTAACATTAAACTTTAACAAGAAGTCATTAAAAACAGTATTTTTGGCATACTTTTGGGTAGAATTTTTTTTCTTATACACTTACGAGTATAGTAAGTATAATGTATTATTTTTTCTTTAGATAACATAAAATCGAAATATTTTAAATCAATAACTTACATAATAAATTAGTTTAGATTCTACAACAGTATTTAAATTTAAACTTCTTAAATATATTTGTACATACTTAACTATTACATGTGTTATATGATTAGATGCCTAAAAATGATATAGTTAAAAACACTGGTGAATTCACGTATTTAAATATCATAAAAGTTTTTATTAAATTAAACAAAAAACATTTTTTTTTTTTTTACAAGAAAAAATTTAAAATACATACATTTTCAAGTTTGACATTTTGGATTTTTTTTTATAGTTATAATTATTTTATACTTGTATTAAATTGTCTCATTGTAGTAATACAAGTTACTAATTTTAAATGAAATGTTAATATGTTAATCTAAATTGAAATAATGAATAAATGAGTTAAACCATTAAATCTTTGTTAAAAAAAAGTATTTGTCTCAAATGTTTTTCTAATAATAAATATTTCAATTACCTTTTGATTATCACTATAATAATAATAAACTAACTTAGGCTGAACAAGGGCTAAGCCCGGAAATCAAAACCAATGTCTTGTATTCATGTTATATTATTAACACTATTTTTAATTAATATAAATTATAATTAGTAAATATTACTTAGAAAAGCAATAGTAATAATAATATTATGACCTAGGAAATATTAATTCAACGTAAATTAATAAAAATTATGTTTCAAATTGAGCTAAAAATGATGTTTTATAATGAATATTTATTGGTGAAAATAATTAAACGCTCTCATGAATTTGACAAGGGTTTTCAAATTCTTATGATAGCGCACATGTTGCAAAGCTTCAAAACACGAAATTGAACATTCATAAGAAAATATCAAGTACATGAAAGTTTACGCTTGTGTGCATTTTTATAACAAAAATGCATAAATAAATTCAAATTTTCCACTTGAATTAATACCGTAAAAATACAACATTATGTACTCAATAAAGTTCTTAACGACTCGAGTATATTTGAATTTAAAGAGATTCGAGAAAAATATGTGTACGCCTAATGTCTTATCTTAAAGCATTATTTAGTGTGTATAGTTTATTCAGCGATATGTCACTATTTTACGATGGAAATATTTTTAAAAATAAACATTACCCGTGGGAATGTTTTAACTAAAAACAATTCTTAATAGTACACGTAGTATAAATTATAATTTGTCTTTGTATTATTAAAAACATTTATTATAAATTACAATCATCAAAGTATTTAATTGTTAACTATGATGGATAACAACTTACAATATAGGTAGTTGTTAATATTTAAAATTCAAATAAAATTCAATATACTATTTATTCAAATTTACATAACTCTTCCGATAATTGTATAATATTACTAACGTTGGTACAAATCAAATATTGCGTGGAAATAGATGAATCCTAGGACTTACCTACCAATGTTTTTTTATTTTATTATTATTTTAAGAGCTGTTGTCATTACTAATTAAGCTATACTATCATTTACAGTTATTAGATAACTTTAATAAATTTAACAATTATTATATACAAATATACTATGTATACATATAACATATTTTAAACAATATACAATAAAATTAATCTTAATTAAAATGTATACATTATTATTCTTTTTATTGTTATTTTTATCAAAACTAAATTAGTTAATCTGATTTAGAAAAAAAGGGATATATGAAATGATTATGGAAGAGAAGATCCATAAAACACCTTCCAAGCTGCAGTTAAAATAACCTCTAGATTTTCAAGGTTGAATTTATTATTGATAATTATAACACAGGACAAATAATAACTAGTTTTTGATAAATACAGTTAAAATTATTGTTGATCTGTATAGTCTATACTTATAATAATTATAATTGTTATTTTTTTATAAATTTTCGTAATATTTAAGCGTAATTTTAAATTAAAGTCAAATGGAATTTTGCTCAACATTTAATAAAAAAAAAGGAGCCAAGTGAGTGTCGCTCTTTTATACAGTAGGTGTCAAATAGCTAAATTGGTCACTATAATAGACGTATTATATTTTAATCTAATAATACGAGTATGTCATTGCTTATACGTACCTATAATAATTTCTGAATAGAGACAGTTTGTCAGCCTATATCATATATATTTCGTAATAATATGTTTTTGATATTTATATTTAAGTATTTTTTTTTTTACTAATTAAAGTTATATTAAATTTTTTTATTTTATTTTTTGTGTTTTTACTTGCACTAAATTTAAGAATAGAAATATAAAAAAAATATTAATTTAAGTTTTGAAAAATGTGATAACACTCCAAATATTCAGTATAAATCAATATTATAGCAAATACAATCTATAACGCCGTCGTATTAAAGTGTACTATGGGGCATAATTTTTTTCTTTTTATGAACGCATTTAAAATTTTTTTTACGATCCAAATACCACTTTGAGAAATATGATAACTTGATACACCGTGGGAATTGAAAACGCTTTTATATCACGAATCTGGTAAGTAGTCCCAAGCTACGAATCGAGAGATAATCACAATAGTACCTAATAATTAAAAATATTTTCAGCCAGCTCGTCATTCATCCAATCACTTTAAAGTTTTAGATATTTATGAACATTTGGCATAAAGTTACAATTTAAAGATTAATTAAAGATTATCTCATATAGGCTTTTAGGTCTAAATAAAACATTCTTTTAGGCTAACATTACATTGTATATAAGATTAGAGTGTTAATTTAATTTTACTTTTTGGACAGTTTATTGTTATTAATCTCATAAAATGAACAATGACTCTATATGTTATAAGTTTTAATTAAATTACTATATTACATGTCTTGTCTTACAATCTTGTTCTCTACTTTAAATGTAAATTCATAGGGAATAAAAAAAAGTGAACAAAATTCTTGCTATATCTATTAACATTATAATTAGTTTTAACTTGAAAACTTATGTAATATTAATTATGATTATACTTTTTTTCAATTGCTTGATTTGATTAGTAAAGCTTTTACAACATAAATAATAAAATTCAAAATATTATTTCCATTATTTTTCTTTACGTTTTTAATATACGTCTTAATATTTTAAATAACCTAAGAATTCTTCATTTAAAAATAAAAGTTATTGTATTAATTTGTACATCACGATTAATTACTATAATAGCTATTAAAGTTTACTTCACATAAATAATACATTATGGATATTTTATACTGAATTAAATGTAAATATAGAGGTAAATATATAATGTTCATTTTAAATTTAAAAATTTTATGAAGATAAAATACTATTTATTTATTTCATGGACTTTTTTTTTTACTGTTTTTAGTTATATAGATCGTTGTTGTTAAGATTTATAATTAAAATAATGAGAATTTATTATTTTAAAAGATGTCTTTCAAGCATTAGGTTTGATA